TATTGCCTTTGATTTGAAAATTCATTTTTATTCATTTTTCACTGGGAGGTTGTTTCTAGAAATAGAAAAGTATAGCTCTTTTGCTTTGCACATAGGAAATAAATGAAAATTCTAGTAAGCAGCTTAATTTACTATTGCTTTTTTCCTTTGTTAATTTCCTAAACACATACGTTGAAAGCCTTTTGAGCATTTGATTTGCTTTTCTCTTACCATCTTTATTTCTCTTATCAGCTCCTATGAAGTACTAATTCTGTAAACTCAATGACTTGTATACATGTTTAATGTACTAAATTGTCTTTTTTTCATGAAGGGATGAGGTGTGTAGCAAGGCCCTTTCCTTGCTCATTTGATCTCTATAACTGTCCCAATTTTTGTTTATGGGCGTTTTGCTTACATTTCTGAAAGCAATTTATTTAAGCTTACTAATATGATAGATGACTCTTTACTTTGTTGATGTCAGGATGATACAGACGGGAAAAGAATTTAAGGAATCTTTACCTGATGATGAGTCATTTGACTTGGTAATAGGCATGCTGCTTGTAACAAACCAGATTGATGCTGCCCTGAAATATATAGATCTGACCTTAAAGGCAGGTTATATGTTGTCAATGAATTCATTCACGAAGTGCGTCCAAAGCTGTGTTCAGAATGTAAGGCTTGATACGTTGGTGTCGATTATAGAGAGATGCAAGGTACACTGGCTGGCTATTCAATAAAGTACATTATTAATATTTATTGTAACCAACTTTGCTTCTACTGATCTGATCAGAAAATGGATCAAAACAAATCCTTATGTCCACCTTGGGCTGCATGCAATTACATAGCAGATGTTGCGATGCAAGCAGATAACAGTGAATTAACTTATTATGCCCTTGAGTTTATGGCAAAGTGGATTGCTCGGGGGGAGAATGCAAGGCCTCCTGTTCTACTCTCCGTTGATGAAGGGTTAGTTGTCTCTGCCTTAGGCACTGCAGGTAGGACTTATAATTCTAAACTGTTGGATGGTTCATGGGCAATTCTTAAGCGATCACTGCGCCAGAAGAAGGTCCCAAATCCTGAATCATACCTTGGCAAGCTATACGCTCATGCTAGCTTGGGGAACCTGCAGAAGGCTTTTGGTACTCTGCATGAACTTGAGACAGCTTATGGAAATTCTACAGAAGAAGCAACCGAAGATCTGTTCTGTCCATTCACCTCTTTGAATCCTCTAGTTATGGCATGCTCCAAGAAGGGTTTCGAGACGCTGGATTCAGTATGTTTTTCTGCCTTAGATGCTGCTTATATTTTATGCCATGTGCTAAGAAAATCAAATTCTTTAACGTGCTTCTCAGGTGCTTGACAAACACATCCATTTCATTTTCTTGTGGCACTTTTGTTGACAGTTGACAATTGACGAAAAATAGTGACTCAATACTAAACCTTCTCAATTCATTTTTTCCCTCCTTTATCTGAAGCTAACATTGGAAGGAAAATCAGTTACGCATTTTGAAAAATAGAGCTAAAAATGTGAAATAGTTATGTACATGATGCTTCCACATGATTAAGTTATGAGAAGCAATTTTGTTTCCTGTGGGATAGCATTTTATTACTGGCCTTTTGCTATATCCATGGAAAAACTGCGAACTTTCAATGCAGTTGGTGGTGAGGTCTTGCGATTTACTAAACCGTGAAAATCTTCAAAATTTCAAATCATTCTTGGAGGGTTTTTTAATCCATTGTACATTCACACTTTTACTAATATATGTAATATAATTATGTAACTAACTGAGTAAATTGAGGTGCTATAAGCCCAGTCAAAAGAAAGTTTCTTCTCCAATTAGATTTATGGGCATTCCATCTAGAAATGACGACTGAAAATCTATAGGTCTTTACAGGTTCTTGATCCTTGACATTGTCGATGGATAGTATTGGCCACAATTATTTTTCGATAATTCATATGTAGTTACCAATTCATTGAGGCAATGGTCTCGTCTATCTCATCTCTCCAGAGGTAGATTATGCATTTAGATTTAGCAGAAAATAAGGCTTACAGCCTTAACCAGTGCAATATGAAGAAAATATGACTTGAAAAGTTTGAGCATCTAATTGAATAGCATTAAAACATGAGATTTCTTGTATGCCAATTACCATTTCGAAATTTCCTGTGTCACTCGACGTTGATGTCCAGATCTCGATCACCTTTGGAATTCCTTGAGTTGACTTGCTGTTGTCTCTGGCAGTTATTGGTCTTCATATTTTACAACCGAGATAAAACTGTATAATAACGTGCTTATAAAAGTTATTTGGTTGTTGCTTACTGCATTCTTAAAATATTGACAGGTTTATTACCAGCTGGAAAATTTGAGCCGAGCCGATCCTCCTTACAAGTCTGTTGCTGCCCTGAACTGCGTAATTCTTGGTTGTGCAAATATATGGGATGTTGATCGGGCCTATCAGACATTTAGTGCAATTGCTGCTACATTTGGATTAACTCCTAACATCCATTCATACAATGCTCTGATATGTGCCTTTGGGAAGCTTAGCAAGGTAATACTGATGTATAGTGCAATTACTGATGCTTGCATGTCACCCTATTCTGTCTTGTTCTGGAACTCTGCGTATCATTCCCTCTGCCCCGTGAAGGCTATCTCATTTAACTTTTGTTGGACAAACTAATAAATTTTTCTCCTCATTATAATTCAATTGTTATGCTTTCTTAGATTTATTTATATTTTTATTTGATCCCAAAAACTAAATAATCTTGTTTACAGAACTTGTTTATTTAACTTCAGAAATTCGAACCAGAAACACAGTGCATTCCAAAGTAAAAATTTTGACATTCATATCTGTGTTTGATCATTTGGTTGCTTCACAATGCACATGGGTACATTTCTTAAGGAAGAATATCAGTCCAATAATGGTTCTTGATGCTCACTCTTGGTATTAACGACTTTATTTTTCCCAAATTTGGTGAAATGCTGAACCATCATATCCAACGCAATTACTTGGTTTCATTGAAATATTAAATCAATGAAAGACTTATTATATATATTATCTTCTGCAGAGGGATGAAGCTGTGAAAGTATATGAGCACTTCGTGAGCTCAGGCATAAAACCAAACGCAACAACATATTCTCTGCTTGTCAATGCTCATCTAATCCAACGAGATCCTAAAGCTGCTATTTCTGTGATTGATGACATGGTGGGATACTTCCTGTGGTTGATATCTTGCCATTAATTTTTCCTTTTTCTTTTTTCCTTTTCTTTTCCTGCATGCAGTTAATTTCTTTTATTGATATCCAATCCTCTTGAGCAGGTAAGTGCAGGATATGAACCTTCGAAGGAAATCCTAAAAAAGGTCCGAAGGCGATGTATTCGAGAGATGGACTATGAAGCTGATGATCGGGTAGACTCCTTGGCCCGAGACTTCAAAATCCGGATGGGCACAGAGAACCGGAGGGACATGCTTTTTAATCTCGAGTACAGTACAGAGTATGCATGATAGTAAGTTCACAAGCATCAAATCCCACTTGCATCAGCAGATAGCAGTAGATATCCATGTAGCACATTCTTTTAGATTGCTTTTTTTAACCTTCATGTTCTATTCTGAATTTCATAAATTTAGTAAATGTATTTTTCTTTTAGAACAAGGAAATTCGGGAGTTAGTGCATGTCATTAGTATAGGCTTTCTAGTTCTTCTCGTCTTGCAGTGTACTTGTTTGGCATTGATTCGTGCTGCTATATTCTCAGGTACGTGTAACTTCTGTACTACGTTCGCTTCACTGACAGCGTAGTTCGCCTAATATTCTCGAGTTGTCTTCCATTATTATCCTTTGGTGAATCTTGGTCCGCTGTCTGTAAATTATGGATCCCCTGGTTGATTTGAGTTTAGAAGGCATGGTAGCTTCTTTTGCAGCAACTGAGTTGTCCAATCTTTATGTATTCTTTCCAGGCATAAAGGTTTTGTATCGAGATTACACATTCAGGCGTGGAAGAACGAACATAGATTGAAATCATTTAAATCTCAGATATAAGCGTTCTCCAATTATTGCTTATTTCCAAATTGTAATGTGAAGTTTTATTTCGTTATTTATGGTGGCTTTACCATTCTTCTAGTTACATCATCATCATCATCGCCATCACGACCCACCCAACACCTTTTACACAGGTAGGCTCACTTTGGCCTTAAAAAAGGAGTCGGCTCACTTTGGCCTTAAAAAAGGAGTCAAGTCAATAATTAATTTTAACTATACGTTAAGTCGACTTTTATTAAAATTTATTAAAATTTTGATTTTTAGCACAACCTAACAGCGGATTAAGCAATTTAGGAATTAACTGATTACGATGTTATAAACAAAAGGTCATGGCAAGAAAAGCTCTTTATTGTTAGTAATAGAAACTACTTAGTCACCAATGATAAGAAAGGATTCATTTTTTCTCTTAATGAGAAAAGCACGAAAGTGTTTAGGATCAAGACCAGAGAGTTGAAAAGGCAACTCTTCGAATAAGATTAGCAAGAAAAGCCTCTATGTTGATCTAGTCGAAAAACCTACTTAAATTCAATCTTGAAAATACGTCCCTCTTTTATTGTTTACATAAACTAAATGTATTTTGAAATCTTGATAAAGCCTTGGGCTAAACTAGCATGCATTTTAAAGAGTCGACAAGGAAATTGGAATGGAATCGATTGAGTTGAATCTAGATTAAGGGTCCGTCGGCATGCTTCTGAAAATTAAAAAGGAGCTTGATTTTGGATCTGTTTGACTAATTTTATGAAGGGGTTTCTTCTTTTTAGAAGAACTTTTAGAAAAAATTGATCTAATGTGACTTTCTTTATAAGAACTTCTTAAATATGAAATGATTTTAGTTTTCAAATCAAGATTTAAAGAGTTTTTACCAAAATCTCTTCTGCAGAAAATAGAAGGAAAAATCAAGTCAAACATGGGCTCTGTATATAACTTCTTCTGACCCAACAGTTATCCGCTAAGGCCTAACCATGGTAAGAAACCTGAAAGCAGCCCAGCCCATCACTATTTCTGTGAAAATCTCAAATCCCTAGCTTTCAATTTCGAAAAATAGAATCAAATTTCCCAAAAATCATTCCCAATATCAAAATTCTAAATGCCACAAGTTAATTCAAAATCTACGAATTCAAAAACTGAAAATTCGAATAAATTAAAAATGAAGCAAAATGGTAAAGCGAGAAAAAAAGTACTAGACGAAGATGGCCAGGAAGAACAAGATCAAGAACAAGATGGAGTCTCCGTACACTCGCCTTGCAAAATCCCCAATTCTTCTTTCCGAAAGGTATGTTTTGAAAATATATAATGTGTGCATGTATGCATTTCTATTATGTGCTTATATTTCATTTAATTGAGTTTCAGGGGAAATCGGAGGTGGAATTGGAACTGAGGCTATTAGAAGCTCTCGAAATCTATCCTCCGTCCAAATTACGAGGCAAATTTTTGTTATTAATTCTTGTATTTTATCATTTTTAGGTTATTTTGTTTTTAATCCTGCTACAAATATAAATGTAAATATGCACTAGCATGTATGCATATCATTATAGAACTAAACATTTGAAATTTATTGGAGTCGTTCTTGATGTGCGATAAATTTGCAGAAATGTTAATCAGTAATCACGGCTATTAATTTTGTTGGAAACGCAAAATTGTTCGTATAATATGGATTTTTTAATAACTTAAAGTCGATCGCTATTTCCGGAATATTTTTTTGGCTAAGCTTTGGTTTTCAGAAGTTAAAAGGTATTTAAATGTCTAAAATTTCTGTTCCATAAGTTTAAATCAAGAACTAACTGGCCTTGATTTGTAGCTTTTTGCTTTAGAAGAGCTAAAAGTTAGATTATTATTTAAAGATAATTGAAAAACTACATGGAAGTTAGCCTGAATTATTAGATGATTTACTAACTGTAATTGTTTCCCCCTTTGCAGGAATACATAGACACTTTGTGCTTTATGGTTTAACAGAATATTTGCGCAGAAGGTTTGCATGTGTTTTTTCGTTTGTACACTACACTGATTATATTATTTTCTAGAATTTCAAGTGATCCTTCTGAAGATCATTGATTTTATTTCAAAATTTGCATGTATTGTTTTCATACATACTGTTGATGCAGTTTCAATCAGCCATTTAGTGGGGATGATATTCTGAAATTGCTCGATCGTTTCTACGACTTGGAAATGGTGGTAAGTGTTCTTACAGTTAATGTTGCTATTTTTGTCATTGGGTTGGTTCATCAGAATTTACAAGAATTGGATCATAACAAATTGGATTTCGAGTACAAGAGAGTATTCTCATTAAATAGAATGTGAAAGTTATACCTTTTTGAATCATACAAATTAATGGTGTATTTATGTTTCATTTGTTGTGGTTGTTAATGACAAAATTTAAATAAATAAATGTATCTGGTCTAGTAGCTTGACACTTCAGATTACATGGATTAAAATGCTATCACAACAGACAGAGAACCTGGGTTCAAGTCTATTGCCACCCATTTAAATTGTGCGCTTGTTAAGCTTTTCGTAAGAGAATGAAATGTGATTGGGTGTATTGAAGTTTAAATAAATAAGTTTTTCTCCTCTTTTACAGCTTAAACATTTAGACGAGGTGGTGCAACAATACTAGTTAGCAATCCTTGGGATTTCAAATACATGATTAGCTGATAAACTTGAAATGCATTCTCTTAGTAGATATTAGTTGTTAATTGTTATACGAAGAATAAGTGTTTGATTTAGTCCTCATATACAGCTTCACAAGAAATTTACCAAATCGCAGAAATTCAAAACCATCAATTTACAGTGGTTAAATATTTTATACGAGCTCTGCTTGTGTGGTAACCAGTAAGATTACTTTTTAGAATAAATTGTAGCTCAGTCAAGGAACTAGTGCGAGAGAGAGAGAGAGAGAGAGAGAGGGGTCATTACATAAGGGCCGTGTAAATTTTAGAGCTCTTCCGTTCAAGTTCTCTGTCATGTTGTGCTGGTAACTTATTTCAGTATAAAACCCCGATTTTGATAATACAGATTATTCTTTCTTGTCTATAATGTGATGTTGCAGAAACCAGATGATGACGACGCTGAAATCCTGCATCAAGAGGAAGATTTTCGCTTGCCACAAAGTTATTTCATCAGTGAAGATTCTTGAATGAGACTATTCCACGTACAGTTGCTTGTTTATGAAGTTGTTCATATGTCATGCTGGTTTTCTTTTCTTTTTTTTTGGTTCTCTAGTAACTTTTCTTATAATATTACTTGTGTTTGTTTTTATGAGCCGACAAATCCATTTTCTAATAGTGATGACCCTAATTTCCCTACCTCCTTTTATAAATTGAATAGATTATTTGTATAGGATTTGATAATACATGGGTACTTGTTCATTGTTAGGTGGCAATGTTTAGTTTGTTTTTCTTCTTGTTCTTTTGCCAATCTTTTGAAGTAGTAGCATATAGCAATGACCAAATTTTTTGAACTATAGAATATTACAAGAGAGAATGATCTTTGTGAAAGTCGGCGTAATTCGACTTTTTAAATTTTTCTTCATTTTGGTTTGGAATAATTGAAGCTTAATATGAGTTACGAGACAATGCTTACCTACACTTTTATTGCATTATGGAACGTAGTATGTATCTTGAATATTTCATGATAGTGTTTGTATTTGTAAATGAGAATGATAGAAGAAATATTTGAAGTCTCCATGCCCAATGAATTTTATTGAAATCTTTGAGAGTTTCGTACCATCATCCGAACATACCAATTATTTTTAATAATTGCAAATAAAAACGTATTGAGTTCAAAATGAATTAATTTCAACAAATTTCTTGAACTATATAAATTTTACAAAAGATAAAAATCTATCCAAACTCATATTCCCCTTCATTTGTTTCTTGAGCCGAAATATAATTGAAGCTCTACGTGAGAATCATTATCACGATAGCCACACTTTTATTGAATCAAGGAAACGGCTGATCATAGTATCTTGAATATTTTATCAAAACTGAATTTGGGAATTAGAATTGTCATTATCTTTACAATTTTGGTAGGAGGAATAGAAGATAACAATGTTGTGATTTTATCTTTGGCATATGAAGACAAAGAAGAAAGAAGAGTCTAAAATAACCTAATTCGTGTCAACTCGATCAAGGGTCAAGTAATCGAGGTTGAGATATCAAAAGTAGTATTCGTCAGTTCATAGTCAGGTTTGAAACTGATCAACAGTAGTGCAGTTGGGGATTTCTCCCCAAGTCGAAGACGGAAGACATGGGCCCACCTTGACATAGTTATTTTAAGCTAGGATGGTTAAAATCGGTGATCAAAATAGCACGCCAATGCGAGGCAAGGACGCCCATTATTAGATTGTTTTTATTTTTATTTATTTTTTTTTAACAATTCTTTTAAGTTAAAACTTATAATTATTAAATAATTTATAATTATTAAATGATTTTTTTATTGATTAAAAATTTAAAATAATATTAAAATAAGAACGCTTTTCTACGCATTTACCTCACCTAATCTCGCATTGCTCATAGCTTGACATCAACGCATGACCACATATTACGCCTTTTAAAACACTGGTTAAAAGACAAAGAAGTGTTGTGCTCAATCCCATTACCATCTCTATTTATGTGGGCGACATTTTTCTCGTGTCTCTTAATAAAAATGTAACATAAAATACCAACAAAATACATGCTTAGACTAAATGCCCCAGCAAAAGGCATGTCAAGTCGACTTATTCGATCCTTTTATTAAAAACTTAAATTTTTAGATAAGTTCGACTAACTAAAAAACCCGATATTAGCTCCGAGTATCCCGCTGATGCAATTGACAATCACATGTCATTTTCGTTTTCTTATCCTTTGCAAGTCTTGTTGACATAATTGAGAAATACTTATTGCGGGGTCGACAAAATTTACTACGTTTCCAAAATATCTCGCAACAAAGGGATTGAAAAAAGAGAAGCCTATGCCTTTATTCTCCATTCCTCGGAAGCCTACGTCTGTGGTGCAATAATCTTAGCCCAAAGTCTCCTCCGAACCGGTACCAAATGCGACCTAATCCTCCTCGACGGCACCACTCTTACCTGTGCCGGGTGGAAGCTCCGATTCATCAAACAGATACGAAACCCAAAGGCTGAGAGATGCACCAACAACGAATACAATTACAGCAAGTTCCGTCTATGACAGCTCACTGATTACGATAAAATCACATTCATAGATTCAGATATCACTATATTACCCAATTTGGATATCGCATTTAATTTCCCCCAAAATGTGTCAGCCACTGGAAACGATGGATCATTTTGAAACTCGCCCTACTTAACACCTCCATGCATACACACAAACATAATATGTGAACCCAAAAAAGGAATAATTCCATAGTTACAGCGAACTATTTATAGAAATGATACAAATGCTGTGTTGACACTTGACAACCTCTGTATGGTGCAATTCCTGTGTTTGTTGTGTCAAAAACCAATGAAAATCTGTCAAGTGTTTTTCTGTAAAAAAATTATCAATTTTTCTGTACTTGTAGTAAAACTATTGAAAAAATTAGGAGTACGAGCCATGAATTTTCAACATGTGGCCTTTGAACATCATTCACGTGGCTAAAAAAAAAAAAAACATTTTAATCACCAATACAATAAACAATTGTGGAAACCAAAACGAATGAATTTATGAATTGCTACAAACTCCTTTAATAAAGGGTAAAAGAATCTTCTTTTGCTCTTAAACTGGGCTACGTCTTTATGCTGCACACTTTCCTCTAATCTAACAGCTTTCAAAAATCCCTGATTGCATCTTCTTTATGGGATGGGTTCTTTATGTGAAACAAAATGCCAAGCGAATTTCATACGGAGATCTTATCGAGTGACTTGCATCCTGGTGGACATTTTCAACATCAGATTACACTTGACACAAATTAAGGTAATTAGACTAGACACTTTTAATAATGTTGAATTCCTATGACACTTAATAGATTGTTACAACCTTCTTCAGCTCAAGCCGCATGTAAATCCCGACTCATAGGTGATTCAACAAGGCTTCGACATAAAACCATTTTAACCAATATCATGATATGTCGAATCAATGAGAACTTCCATGCATAGACACAAATGTATTCAGGGTGAAGAAAGTATTTTGAAAAAAGCTATCATAAATAGTATGATTTGACTGTCTCAATTTCCATGTCAGCAGTAGGGGTGGGCATGGGTTGGTGAAATCCAAACCCGAAAACCAAAACAGAAAAAAAACCAATCAGACCGAATGCGTTGGGTCGTAATCACGGGTTTAATATTCAGCCCTAGTCAGAAGTAAAGGAATTACCAGAGTTAAAAAGGTTGGATGGTCCTAGGAATGTTGGGAGCTTTCATAAGCAGATAGATGACTTTCTCACGAATTCCTTCTGGCATGCTAGTAGTCGCTGGTCGATACCATTCTGTAGATCAATCACACGGGCTTCCCAGCGGAGCTCTGTAGTCAGAGAACGTGCTTTGTCTATAGGGCCAATCTTATCAGAAATAATGATCCATCCCTGCCACAAGTACGCAAATTTTACAAATATAACTTGAGAGCCGAAACTAGAAATATGCACGTGAGGATCTAAATGAACCCGATAGGTAGCAGCAAAACTTTAGATATAATTATAAATTGTGATGCTTGGACTCTTTGAAATGGCCGGAATACCCATGTCGACACGACATGACACGGGTACGAGTTCTCCACCTGGACATGGCAATTTATACAGGGGTTTATATCCTCCAACTCTTACACAATTTTCGTGAAATCCAAACCCGAAAACCAAAACAGAAAAAATACCAATCAAACCAAATGAGTTGGGTCGTAATCACGGGTTTAATATTCAGCCCTAGTCAGGATCACAGGAATTACCAGACTTAAAAAGATTGGATGTTCCTAGGAATGTTGGGAGCTTTCATAAGCCGATAGATGACTTTCTCACGAATGGCTTCTGGCATACTAGTAGTCGCTGGTCGCTACCATTCTGTAGATCAATCACACAGACTTCCCAGCGGAGCTCTGTAGTCAGAGAATGTGCTTTCTCTATAGGGCCAATCTTATCAGAAATAATGATCCACCCCTGCCACAAGTACACAAATTTTACAAATATAACTTGAGAGCTGAAACTAGAAATATGCACGCAAGGATCTAAATGAACCCGATAGGTAGCAGCAAAACTTTAGATATAATTATAAACTGTGATGCTTGGACTCTTTGAAGTAGCTGGAATACCCGTGTTGACACAACATGACACTGGTACGAGTTCTCAGCCTGGACAAGGCAATTTATACAGGGGTTTATATCCTCCAGCTCTTACACTATTTTCGTGATTTTATTCTCCATTGCTACTAATGTTTTTAGGTTAATCGGGTTGATAAAAAAGACATTAGCAGCGTTAATAAGTTAATAAGGTTGGCAAAAAAGCCATATTAACAAAATTCGGACTCTTTTTAGCCATATCCCCTTATCCTACGTTTTAGTAAATAAAAAATTCAACACTTAACTACGTACCCGTACCCGAGTCTGAGAATCATAAATTATAAACAAATATAACATAGTTCAACGAAGAATTACCTCGGGCCTTAGGATACGATCCATCTCGAAAAGTAAGTTGATCACACTGCATCCCTTTGAAGCAAGTTGTGAGAGTCCCTTGGCATGAAGCATGTCATATGTTCTAGAGTATGTTGGGATAGGTTTACACCTGTGCTCAATTGCTCAAACAACAGGATCAGCACTCCATGAAATTCTAATAGAGTTTATGTCAGTACTTAGTAGACACTCATGGACAAAAATTCAGGGAAAAAAAAACCCAAAACTCAAATCTGAGGATTATGAAATTCTGGGGGAAGGAAAAAAGAAAACAATACTAGCAACCAAATGAATATAATAATTCACTATTTTCAACTGACATAAAGCATCTCATTTCGAAATGCCAAACTTTTAAGTTCAGGTTCCAGTTATGATTTAATACTTATAATATGTTTGGTTGTAGAAAGTGGAGTTCGTGAAGTTTGTTTAAGTCAGACAAAATATATACAATGTCAAAAGGACTCCATTGTAGCATGGCACAATATTCCCTAATAACAATCATTTATTAAACTAATAGGTTTATTCCTTAATAACATCCAAATTGAGCAAATGAAGATGTCAAACAATTCGATTTTTTCATGTAACAGACTTTGCATGGATAGTATTTCAACTCTTGAGCAGATTGTTCTATTAACTGGTACATAACGTCAAAATAAGTCTGCAGTAGGGCCTAAATACAGAACTAAAGGGCCATCTATACATACATTTTTTTCATCATAAATTTTTGATCTAGTAAATTTATAAATGAATCATATATTTAGATACCAGACGAAACAATGAGTGATCAGAATCAATATACTTTTAACGTATTACAAGTCATGCAAAACACCCAGGAAACCTCTATCAATGATGATAGGAAGTGTATTATGTGCACCAAGGGGCACAAAATTCATCATCCACAA